GGTACTGCAGTCCAGTCAAATGCAAGGAAAATGAGGCGCTAATTATCAAAGCTGCTGGAGGACCGCAGGAAGTGGATTCTAGGGTGAGAGGATGAGCGTCAGGTAGACGTGGGGGAGACACTTCAGTACTAAAATAGAAAAGATACTTTGAAAAAAAAGATGCTTAAATACAGTGCTGATCCTGGAGTGTCATAATGTGAAACCCAGCAATAGTATTATTCTTCGTGCAGAGTGATATTAGCCTGCTTGGGTTTATTCAATCTCAACATAATTGAAGATATGGATAACTGCATGTGTGTTTAAGTGTATAGGATTGATAACCATATTTCTAAGTTTTTGGTGGATAGTTGAACAGAACTGGTTGCAGTCTCACTGTTTGAATCCACACTTTATAAGCTCCACTTTAGTATCTTGAATAACTATTTGTAAGAAGACAATCTGGAATCATCAACTAGTGATTTCTTACTGTTTATTTTTTTCTTTGAAATTATGTATTATTTCTACCCATTTTCTGTTTTGTTTAGTCTTGCTTTAAATTAAGTTTTAAAAAAAGACACTACAGTACCCAGTGCTGATCACGGAGTGTCATGATGTGAAATCCAGCAATACTATTATTCTTTGTTCAGAATGATTTTAACCTGCTTTAGTTTGTTTAACCTAAACATAAATGAAGCTATGGATAACTGCATGTATGTTTAAATGTATAGGATTGACAACCATGCTACCAAGTTTTTGATGGACAGTTGAACAGAGCTGTTTATAGTCTCGCTGTTTGAATTCCTACTTTACATGTTCCATTTTTGTATCTTGAACAACTATTTGTAAAAAGACAATATGAAGACATCATCAAGTGATTTCTTACTATTTATTTTTTTCTCTGAACGTATGTATTATTTCTTCCTATTTTCTGTTTTGTTTAGTCTTTCTTTAAATAAAATTAAAAAAAAAAAGATTGCTGTCAAATTTCCAGACTGGCCACTAGGCGGCAGACGCGTGAGACAGAGCCAAGCCGCGCCTCTGGCATCCTGGCCTCTGGAGCCACATTCACAGCGAGGGTCAGGGAGGAGAGATGGCCTCTTCAAAACAAAGATGGTCACACTCGTGTTAAGGGTTTAACAACGTGAGGAACATCAAAGTCTGGATTTCAAATTATCCTATTTTAAATATACTCGATCTTCAAAAACGAAAAAAGCACAGACACACAATTCAGAGACAGCTCAGTGGGTACACTGGGAAGAACAATATAAAAATTTCGGCAAAGAAATAGAAGGAAAGCCAAGTAGAAATGTTAGAAATTTAAAAAAATTTAACAATTCAAATTTAAAAAGGACCTCACGGGGTGGCCGTAATGACAGAATTACAGCCCACACTGTGCTAGTGGGGCAGGCTGAATGTGTCTCCGCTGGGATCAAGACCGAGGCAAGCGCTGCTCGTCAACCCTGCACTGTTCCCCTAGGCTTAAGCGAAGAAAAATAAAAATGTGTGCTGTCTGGAGAGGAAGAACTGGAACTGTTCCTATTCGGAGGCAGCAATATATAGACACACACATATATATGCATATATATATATAAAATTCTAAGGAACATGCACACAGAGGCCTCCTAGGACAAATAATATTAGTGGTACCAAGGTTTCAGGATACGCTGACAACTATAAATAAGTTATTTCCATAGTAGCAATCAAACATTGAAAGTTGAAAATTTAAAAATTTCATTTATTCAATAAAAACACATAAATCCAACAAGATGTATATATAAGATCCAGATGCTAGAAATTACAAAGTGTTGATGAACGAACTCAAAGCGAAACTGAACAGAAAGCACGGCTCTCTATCTTTCACAGACGATAGGGCAGACTTACAGATTAATCTAATTCCAATCAAAATTTCAGTAGAACATTTTACAGATGTAAGGTCAGCCATACAATTTATATTATAAAGGATCGGGGCTAGGGATTTAGCTCAGTGGCGTAAGCATCTACCTTGCAAGCACATGGTCGTGAGTTCGATCCCTGGTACCCATAAAAAAAAAAAAAAGAGTTTGTATTATAAAGGATCAAGGAAATGGGATAGAGGAAATGTTTTTGAGAAAAAAATTAATTTAGAAATCTCATACTACCCAATTTTAAGACTGACTACAGAGCTGCTGTAATCAGTATGGTCACTATGGGTAGAAAAATAGCCATGATGACCAAGGAACAGAAATGATGTCAAGAAACAGAATCCCATAAATACACTCAGTTGCCTTTTAACGAATAAGTGGAAGGCAATTGATATTCAATAGAGAAAGGATAATATTTTTAAAAATTGTTATGGAATTATTGGACTATCCATATACATAAAAATAGACCTCAACCTGCAGCTCACACATTATATAAAAGTCAATTTGCATTGGGTCATAGATCTAAATATGAAACATAAAAGTGTAAAGCTTTCAAAACAACATAATGGAAGAGTATCTTTATGAGTTGGAGTTACAAAGAGGTTCTTAGACATATGCGTGACCGCTGGAAAATTAGACTGTGTTGAAATTAAAACTCTGTTCTGCAAAATGGACTGTTAGACAATAAAAAGTCAAGCACGCGCTAGGGGAAATATGTGCATATCACTATCTGACAAAGGATTTATACTCTGTATACAGAAAGAAGTCTCAAAATACAAGTGTAAGAAACCAATTTATACGTGGGCAAAACGTCTGAACACGTTTCACAAGAGAGAATATGCAGATGAAAATAATAACATAAAAACTTCAACACCATCAGTCCTTAGAGAAGAGAACATTATAGCCCTGAGGAGACACTGCCATACACCTACTGAAGTGGCTGAAATAAAAACAGAAAGAAATAAGAAGGGCTGGTGGGGACATGGAGCAGCTGGACCTCTCATACCTTGCGGGAGGGAATCATAAGCGGTGCGGCAGCCCTGGAAAACAGTTTATTGCTTTCTTATAAAGATAAACACACAGACACTAGAAGCTCCATTGTTCCCACTCATCTGCATTTACCCTAGGAAAATTACCTCTAAATTCACAAAAACCCTTTTCTTAAATACGTATACACACCCTAGTTGTAACCACCAAAACCAGAAAACAACTGAAATGCCTTTCAACAGGAGAATCGATCAACCATGGTCCATTTTTAGAATGGACTATACTTCAGAAATAAAAAGAACCCAACTTTTGAGACACCATTTGGCTGGATCTCACAAAGGCTGTGCTCAGTGAAGGATCCGAGGTTTAAAAGACGAGGCTCTGGGTGACTTCCCCTGTATGATGCTCTCAGCCTCGTGACTGATACCGCACAGCGGTCACCAGGAGTGTGGATGGGTGAGGGGCTCCCCGCAGAAGACGGGGGGAGGCAGTGCTGGAGGTGGCGAAGGGAAGGGCAACTGCACCCTGAAAGTGCCAGGAATGATACAAATCCACACAGGTTTAAATTCCACTGAAGGGCGCACAAGAAGCTGGTTTTTATCTTTCCATAAAGAATGAAAGGGAAGGCGGTGACTCCCGCGTGCTGTTGCAGGCTGTCTGAGACTGCGGCAGCGTGAGCACCAGTTACAGATGCAGCATGCGGGATCCGGTCCACTCTGTCTTGAGAGTGGATCTGCTACAGGTCACTTGCTCCACCAGGACTGTGTATCACAGCATCTCACACGGCCGCTCACTGTGCAAGCTGGGTCAGGGGCGGTGCTCGGGGGACACTAACTGCAGGTCACTGGCTTTCATCTCACAGCGGACAAGGGGCTGGGTCTGCACCTGGACTCGCTGCCTCCCCAGCGCCAACCTCATTCCACACCTGCTTCTCCACATGGCTCTCACTTAAATTAACAAGCTGTGGAAGCGGCAGGAGACACTTACACAACACGGAGTGGGCAAGGGCGACTGCGTTTTGATTCACAAATACCTCAGCCTTTCTAAGCTTATTTTAACCCAAGCCATGCATTTATATGAAATTATAAAAGGCTGAGGGAATTTTAAAAAGCTGTGCTATGACCATCTCATCATCTTCCAATGGGTGGCTCTTAATTTTCAATAGTATCAAATGATTCTCTTCACTTCTAAAAATGGATAGTATTCAGTATCTTTCTCTATGTGGTTTAAAGAATTGTGGCTCACGATTCCTAAGTGTTTATCGCTTCTGCAAACTGCAGTTTATACATCTGAAGCAAATAGTAAACCTTCAAGCAATTGTCTCCTTTTTCACACACTTCGTTAATTGGTTCTTTTCTGTTTGTTCATTTCAAAACCATCAGCATCAACAACAACAACAACAAATCAGAACTACACATTGTAAGTCCTCTCTAGAGATAGAAACCGGAATTTAATTTTTAGTCTATTGATTATAGTAAATACCTGAAAATATCATATGTATGAGTGACACACAAATGATCTATTGGTGTGAAAACACTGTAGACAAATGATAAATTTTTATTTCTTGCTTGTGAATTATTTCCAACCACTCTACTAGCTACTAGGTTGGTTTATTTTCCCAGTAACACTGACCTAAACATTTTTGTCTCAGCTAAGACAGAGATTAAGAATCTGATGTTTTCAATAAAAGTACCTTCTTGAAGATTTTAGAATTACTACTCCACTCCACGTATTTTCTTTCTTTTTTTGGTACCGGGGATTGAACTCATGACTTTGGCCTTGCCAGGCAGGTGTTTATGCCACTGAGCTAGATCCCCGGTGACTCCATTTATTTTCTTTAAAAATTATTATTGATACATTTTGGCTCAATATTGATAAGAATTAATGCAGCAAAATCTCTCTTGTGCTCTGTGTATTTTTACTGGAGAATCAGTGGCTCTATTGCATATCCAACATAAAGACAATAGTAACAAAAACAATTTCATCACCTATGTCAACCCTTTGTTTTGCACTGAAAAAGTCTAAATACTGTCCAAGCAACAATCTGTCAAGTAACAGGGGCTACTCATGCCCTGTTACTGGTTGGCCAGCGCCAGGGGGCAGGTGGGCGGGGGGAGGAGGAGGTCAGCTTACCTTCCAGCAGGTCTCTGGCCAGACCAGGTTCTGCCCCCGTGGACCGAACAAAGTCTGACAGGACTGCGTCCATATCAAGCGTCATAGGGTCATGCAGAAGTGCTGCCCAGCACTCGGCTGAGGTGGGGGTTGGAAGCAGGCTAGAAACCATCCATCTGCGGGGAAATGGAGAAGAGCGTCTCACCACGGGCTGCAGGCTCAGGGGAGCAGGGCAGCTGCCGCCACCGGCTGGGGTACAGGGCTGAACAGGGTTGGGACAACTGCCTTGTTCTTCTTGTAAGACGATACATTAAAAGGCGTGCCATACGCAACAAGGGGTCTGAATGCTTGGGCCCTCCGACACTCACAGGCTGAAACCCAGCCTGCAGGTGAAGGTTCCGGAAGGTGGGGCCCGTTGGAGGGGACTGTGCCATGCAGTGGGGGCCTCACAGTGGGATTGGCGGCTGGCAAAAGAGGCCCCCCAGCCTTGTGGAGGATGTCATGATGGGCACCATCTCTGCACACAAAGAGGACTCCGACCAGACGGCAAATGCGCTGGTGTCTTGATGCGGGACTTTCCAGCCTCCAGGAAGGGAAGAATCAATTGATGTTGCAGCCATGTTAACAGAACAAGGCTATGGTCATCACTGACTCCAGTGCTTCCAATCTCAATAATCTATCACTTTCAGTGACAACTGGTGGGGTAACACACGATCAAATTTGCCAAAGCTGCCTGCTCACGTATCTACCCTCTCTAAGAATTGGCATAGTCACAGTAATAACCCACAGAATCCATAGGGAAAACAGATTCCTAAGCAGAATGACCCCAGTTGGTCGTGGACCTCAGCTAGCTTGACCCAATGCTTGGGGAGAAGCAACCATTGTATCAGACACAAGAGGGTCTCCCAATGTCAATAATCTAGGGGCTGCTGGTGGGTCTCAGTCCCAGCTACTAAACAGCACACAGACCTAGAACTGTGTTGAGAAGGGGTCAGTGAATTGTGGACTATGGTCAAATGTGGTTTGCCATCTGCTTTTATAAATAAAGTTTTATGGAACACAGCCACATTCCTTCATTTATACAACGTCTGTGGCTGTCTCTATACAAGGCTGAGTTGCATAGTTAAAACAGACTTTGTAGGGCTTTGAAGCCAAACATATTTGTCATTTGGGCCTTTTCAGAATTGTACCCCCAGTGGGATGAGTGTAAATCTGCTGCTCTCCATCCCTCAGACTGTCTCCCCTGGTGACAGTGGGGATGGCTTTGCTCAGTGGGTGGCTTGTGTGCAGCCACTGGGGCTCAGGAGCTGGTACCTCGGCCCCTTGTGACTGGCTGTGCACAGTGCTTCCCTCTCTGGGCCCATCCATGCCTCACATGCTTCTACGTGTAGTTTTATAAAAACTGGAAAAGTTATTTGACCTGATGTATGGGGTACCAATTAAGAAATTGCCTCCTTCCTTCTCCCCATGGACCAGAGCCTCAGCCTGCAGAGTCTCTTCTTTCGTCACCGCCACCTAGAGGACAAATCAGAGAACAATCAGAGAGCAGGGCACTTTACTCTCCTTACCTGGGAACCAGGACTTTGCTTCTGTTCCAGGAAGCCACAGCTGGGACAAGGCTGACCTCTGAATGCAGGTCCTCTGCCCTTCTGGGGGCCACAGGCACTTGCTGGCCAGTGGCCACCAGCTCCCACGGTGGGGGCTGGCGGGGCAGAGAGGCCTCTGCTCTGCTCATTTAGGGGAGCACTTGCCTTTCCACGAGTATTGCGTTAGCAGTGTAGGGAGCTGTAAAGTTCTCTAGTACATCCTACACCATCTTGTTTGATCAGTGCGCCTGGGGCAAAGCAGGCCTAAGGGGAAGCGCGTCACACTCACTGTCTGTAAGCCCTCGGCGCCCCCACACTAAGCGCACTCTCGCTGCTCCCTGCCTCTCTGACCCTTAGATTCCCCTCTCCACTCTGTTTCCCCTCAGTCCCTAGGACCATATCTTCTGATTCTAGGAGTGTAGCTGCTCTCAGGAGCTCCTCCAGGCAGAACTACAGAATGGACTTAATCTCTAAGACTGGCTCCTCTCACTTAGCACAGCAGCCTCGAGGTCTGGGCGTGCTGTAGCAGGGGTCAGCATGCGGTTCTCTCAAAGGCTGAGTAATGCGTGTGCGTTCACCACCTTTCTCCTACCCGATGGGCACCGAGAGATCTCAGCATCCTTGCAGCTCACCAGGCTGCCCTGCTGTGAAGCTCACAGGGGTTTCCTGCAGAGGCCGTGAGGGTCTGCATCTCCTCTGTGCCTTTTCCTTAATGAATTCAGACACAGCGAAGGACAGGCTCCAAATGCATGCTTTTGGGTAGCAAGAAGCTACTAGGCACATCTGCTTCAAGGCTGATTTTTTTAATGGAAAAAATGGTAAAACAAAATTTTGTAACAAAAAAAGAGAGTAACAATAGCTAATATATTATGTGTTGTCATTGTTAAAGTAGTTGCTCAGGGTAGAAGATATGCGCATAAAAATTTCTCCAATCGTTATTATCACAAGTCTTCCTTTTTAATGAACTAAGAGACACTAACATTATAATCGATTTGCAGTTTTTCTCTTTCCCTATCATCCTATTCTCACCCACCCATCATCTCTCCTTTTTCCTTTTATACAATTTCTTTCTATTTTATAATGTGTATTATACATTTTAGACCTTACTCTCTCAGTTTCTCACACCAGGGAGAGGATGTGATGCTCACACATGTGCGAGTCTGATATATTTCACTTATGAGTGTGGTCTCGAGTTGTATCCATTTACCTACAATAGACTCCAGCTTATCCTTCTTTATAGCTGAGTAATACTCCATTGTAGAAAAATACCATATCTTTTTATCCATTTCTCATTTGGGACGTTTCCAAGATTTAGGCACTACAAATAGTGCTGCTATAAACATGGGTGCACATATATTGCCATGGTATGATATTTTTAATTCTTCTGGGAAGATACCCAGAAGAGGAATAGCTGGGTGGATTGGGGCCTCTAATCCTACGTTTTTGAGGAATCTCCACATTGATTTCCACAGCGGCTGCACCAGTCTACACTCCCATCAGCAGTGGAGAAGAGTTCTTTTTCCCCACAGCCCCACCAGTATTTGTTTTTGGTTGATTTCTTGATGACAGCCATTCTTTCTGCGGTGAGATGGAATCTCAGTGTTGTTTTAATTTGCATCTCTTGAATAACCAGTGATGTCGAACATTTTTTTTCATAATTTATTTGCCATCTGTATTTCTTTATCTGAGAAGTCTGTGTTCATCTCTGATGCCCATTTTTGGACTGGGTCTTTGCATTTGAGAGGCCTGACGTTTTTAAATTCTTCATATCCTCTACGTGGAAGTCCTCTGTCTGAGGGACAATTGACTAGAATTTTTCCCACTCTGTGAGTTGTCTTTTCACTTGGTTGGTGATTTTTGTTGTGCAAAAGTTCAGGACTGATATCTGAAATACACCACCACGCCACAACACCAAGACCTCACCTTGGTGGTGATGACACAGGAGGATCTGGGCCCATGAGGGCCCTGGATCCCGCTCACACCAGCTGTCCCTGCCCTCCTGCCCCAGGCCACCTCTTCAAAGGGCACTACTGTGCCTGCAGATCCATGCGGCTGTTTCTCACGGCGTGGGGCCTGGCTGTAGGCTCTGCTTTTCTGCAACTTGCTGTGTATGCTGGCATCATGACAGAACATCTCCGGGGTCTTCACATCTGCCCTGGGAGCATGGGGTGTCAAGCTGTTGTCACTGTGACTTTGCTTAGGAAGGGTTCGACATGTGGACTCAGGAAATGAGGTCTCACAATCAGTCCCCTGGGGCTGCAATGGCTCTGCCATATACTGTCTGTGTGAACTCCGGTATGCTATTTCACTTCTGTGCCTCAGTTTCCCAATCAGCAGAAAAAGGATGATAGTACCTCATGATTACTATGGAATTTTAAGCAACATTTAATGTGCTGAAAGTCATTGGCCAATAGTACATGCTCAATAAATAGGAACCATTGCTCCACTATTGACAAGGACTCGGAGCCACCCCCCTCTTTCCAGGTCTCCAGTGAGCACCAGAATGCTTCTGGCAGAAAGCAGAGGCCTGTCGCTAGACTGTGGCCTGGACTCATGGAGAGTCCACGCTGGACAGGACCCCTGCCTTCGATACCATCTTCTTTCCCATTCACATGGAGCTGCTTTTACTCATCACTCAAGTAACCAGCCCTTCAGGTTAGGCCTCCTTTGTGGGGATTCTGTGAGCAGAGAGAGGCAGGTACCTCCAGGGATGCAGGGGTCCGAGACTGACTGCTGCATTTAGGAGCTCATTCGGGGATTTTCCTCGGTCTTCCTCTACCCACAGAAGTGAACAGGCTCCTCTTAATCTGCCTGACACCCCGTCTGCTTCTCCTTCTCACTCAGGAGTTCTGAGATTCCTAGGGTAAGTGCTTTGTTCCAGCCAAAACTACCTCCAGGCCCATTTTAGCTCTAGCTGTGTCATAGGGGTAAAGGCGGTAATGTACGTGGCCACACTTTGAAAATGATAATGTGCTCTGTGCCTACGAATGCCCGGCTGAGTCAACCCTCCAGAGCACACGCTCCTTTGTGAAGGTCTCTCAGTGTTCTCTGAACTGCAGCAATGGCCCCGCGGGTGCATTTTGCTGACGTACATCCATGGAACTGTGGCCTGGGTTGCATGGACAGACTGAGCAGGCTCTCGGAAGGAGAAATGTTGACATCTGTCCAGTTGATCCTGCAGATGGGGGTGTGCACCTGTGACTCCTTCACACCCTGCAGGACAAGAGGAAACCACAGCACTTCCCTTTCTTATCTTCCACAGTAGGGGTGAGTACGTACATGCTGGCAGAGTGCAGAACCTCAATACCAGAAAATAATCTGTTTAATTACTTTAAATCTATGTCAATAGTGGAAAGACCAGAGTATGTTCTTTTGGCATCATTTTATTTTATCCTTACTGCACTTTTGGAATGCAGGGCTGTTCTCACACTCATTGTTCAGATGAAAATACTGATATTTTGCTCATCAGGATGCATTTATATTCATCTTTTTTGAACGTAGCACTAAAACATCAAATCCTTTAATTTTACGCCCCCCGTGCGTTTTGCCCCTGTGGCCTCCCTAGCTACCCCCTCATCAGACACTGTGGGGTGCCAGGCACTGAGGAATCTGGAAAGAGTATGGCAGTGTCCACCTCAGGGCACCGGCCCCTCCAAGTTAGCAGAGCCGTCACCCGCGAGGTGCTGGCCACTCTGCCCTCCTCCCCTCCCTGGGCTGGAGACTGGCCTCCAGATGCTCCCCCATGCTTCTGTTCTGTGGCTGCCCAGGGGTCAGAACACAAACTTCTGCCTCTAAGCCACAGCGTCAGTCCCCAAGCATCCCAGCCTGTCACCTCCTGGGCTCCAGTGACAACGCCAGAGGATGAATAGGCTGCAGTCATGTTTTATTTGGGCTCCACCAAAACAGAAGCTCTAGAGCTTGGACTTTTAGACTGACAAGGTCAAGACAGAATGAGGCAATGGTATATATCTAAAAATGTTTTTTCTTCCCAAAGGCAAAGTAGATGAAGAATATGATAAATTCTAATGGACACATTACTCAGATCACAATGGTAATAACGGAAATTATTAACTCTCAGCCAGTCTTATGGTTTTATATCTCCAACTATTTTCCCCTCCCACATTACTTTAAACAAAGCCCAGACAAGAAGATGCGTTATGCACTTGTTAAAACTCCCTACGATGACTGCAATCATGTACTGTAAACAACTGCTAATAAACATAAAAATGTAAAAAGAAACTTTTTACCAATAACTATGTCAATAAACTCTAAGAAACTGTTTAAAACAAAACCACAATACCATTACCACAAGAAGAAAGTACCAAGTCTTAATAGAATTAATATCCAGATAGCAGGCAAATTTTTAATGAATCCCAGTGTTGTAATTTCATAGGACTTTTGTTCTTCTACTTGTTTGAACCAGGATTCAGATGGACGCCCACCTGTAAGGGGCTGATATATCTGCTTTAATCCACAAGCTTTTCTCCTCCTCCTTCTGCGTTCTCTCTTCTGCTTGTTGAAAACCCTGATCGTTTTTCTTGGAGCATTTTCTGCTCTCTGGTTTTTATGACTGGTCGCTCCCGCTGTGTTCTGTGGCCTCTGCACCTCCGGCACACTGGTAATTTGATACAAACACTTGATAAAATTCAGGTTCAATTTTGGGCAGGTCTCGGGTGCTGTCTCCATCAGGTGGGACCCAGTGTCTGAGTAGCTCTGTGACGACAGCAGCCACTCATGGTCCCTGCCTGGACCAGCAATCCATTCTTTAGGAGTCGCACACACTCAAAGTACCATGCTTTTATCCCTTCTTCATTTACTACCTGAATTTCTTTCATAAAAGCGAACTTTTGCTAATCTCTTCAGTCACCCAGTGGTAGGCTTCAAATAAAAATGCAAGATAAATGGTTTGTTTCCCACTTTTAAACTTTC